GCGAGGGGCGGGGCGGTCTCCTGTGTGCTTGGTTCCTCTAGCTGGAGTGTAAATTAGCGAGATGTGTACAATATTTTCATTGTAAAAGAAAACATGCGTGTCATTTTCAGCTGGAACCGACTGACCTTCACTTTGTACCCTGAGCCTTGCAAAAGCTCTTTCCACTCATAACTGCACGGTAAAGTGCATCGTGCCTGCTAATGTAAAGGAGGTATTGCAAAGAGAGATTGATTGAAAGATATGGTGAATGTTTGCATTAAAAAAATACTTTTAACAGTAAAAGAAATACTGCCAAAAATGATGGGACACGTGTGTCTGAAGAGCGCGGGATTTATACCATGTGTCTTTTACTGTAAGAAAATACTTAAACATTCACCGTATATTTGATCACCCCTCACTGATCAGACATTTACAGTATTTCTGCAGCATGAAAACCTTACAGTGTGTCCTCATCTGCCTCATTCACGAGATCTGGCACCGTGTGACTTCTGGCTCTTCCCCAAGTTAGAGTGACCGTGAAAGGTGAACGTTTTGAAAAGACTTCAAGGCCCATGGAGGCAGCAAGGACAGCGCAGGTACAGACAGTCGGGAAAAAGGACTTTCAGAATTGCCTTGGAAAATGGCCAGCAGGATGATACGGTGTCCTGAGCAAAGTGTGGGGGGTCAATAGCAATGCATCTTTTACTGTAATAATTTTTCAAATGTAAGCATGCAGCATATTTTAAAATCGGATCTCATGCTATTTTTAAGCCCCTTTGACACACAAGGAAACTCGGGTTGTGCAGCTGGAAAAGTTGCTGTCTTCACTCAGACTCCAAATGTTGGGGTTGCTCATGGTGTCACATTTTGATATTCTTAACTGTTCTTTTCTAAATAAATTTGAAAAATGAGGAATTTTAAAGAAAAGACATTTAATTCCATGCACAGCCATTGTTACTGTTTCGGTGTCTCCCTGTCGCTTTATGTCTGCGGCTAGCATGTGACTAACCCTAACTATACAATGGTATGCACGTCTTTATTGGTGCATAGCAATTCTCAAACTATTGGGTTCTGTGGCAGCATTGTAATATGACTCAGCTCGATCATACCTGTCCCCTCCAATACCCTGAGACTCTTCTCTCTGCCTTGTTCCCTTCCTCTGTCTAACAACACTTTCCCTTCTATTTTCATGTCATCTCTGAACTCACTATGTAGCCCAGGCTGGTCTTGAACTCACAGCGATCCTCCTGCCTCAGCCTCCCTAGTGGGCATCTTTCTGTGTGTGGCTTACTTTGCTTAACACAGCCACCTCCAGTCTCATCTGTTTTCCTCCAACAGACATAACTCTGTCCTTCGCAGCGTGACATTTCCCCTTTGCACACAGGCACCACGTTTTCTCTATCCACTCACCCAGGGATGGACACCGAGACTGGCTTCATAGCTTGGCTGTTGTAAATTCTACGTGCCCTATTTTTAAATAAAATACTTTGATTTTCACCTATTTAATATTTTTTTCATGCAACAAACTTTTTTATTTCTTTACTTTTCTTTCTTTCTTTTTTTATTTTGGTTTCTGTTTTATGAGTCAGGGTGTCGCTATGGAGTCCAGGCTGGCCTCCAACTCACTGTGTAGTCCAGACTGGCCTCAAACTCATGATGCTCCTCCTGCCTCAGCCTACCAAGTGCTGGGATGATGGGCGTTCATGACCATGCCCTGCTCAACAAATATTTCCTGAGCCTTGTATGGGTTAGGTGCCATCCCTGCAGCTGAACAAGAAAGACAATACTAATACTAATGACTCAGCTTGGGGATACTGAGTCTGGGCCTCTGACATGTTAGAGAGTAAGGAGCAGTATGAGGTACAAACCGGATACTCGGCTGTGTAGTGCTCAGCGTGGTAGTCAGGTCTGGGGGTGCGACACAAGTGCCTTAAACGCCTACACACCTCAAGCGGGAGAGGAAGAGGCAGCCAGCCAGGGAGACCTGGGCAAGGCCTGGTGTGCAAGCAGAGTCAGAGGCTGGGAAGAGACCATCGGCACAGCAAGGTGAAGGTCACGGCGACCTGGACAGGGCCATGACCAGTACAATCCAGTGCGGAGGACGAAAGCAAAACGTGTGGGCTGAGGAGGGCATCAGAGCTGAGAAAGTGAAGACATCGACATTATAGCGTCCGCATCTTCTGTGTCATGACAAAGTTATTCTAAATGTTTTAGGGGCTCCGTAGCATTTCTGAATTGTACTTTTCTAATGGTAAAATTACATTAAAATATCGAAGGGCCCAAAACTTGGTTTTTCCCATGGGCCTTTTCTTTAGGTTGCTCTCAGCCTTTATGGCACACAGATGCCTCAGGCAGTGGTGGCGAACCTCTGGCACGCAGCAGGCACTCAGAGCCCTCTCTCTTGGCACGGGAGCCATGTTGTCTCAGCCACCAAGCGTCTGATAACAGTTGCTTTTTTTCAAAACTAAAACCTTGGTATTCAGATTTAACTGCAGTGCTGACACTTTGCAATAAATGAGTGGATTCTGGGTTGCAGTTTGGGCACTCGTCTCTAAAAAGTTCACCATCACCGCCTTCGGGGGAAGTCTAGAAAAGCAGAGGGTAGACTCACGCCTGAAAAAAATGCAAATAACCTTATTCATGTAAAAATGTGTAGATGATTTCGGAGAGTTGCAGCCTGCAGTTACCCGGGGGTAGGAGGAATTCCCATGCTAAATGGTGTTCTCGATCTGTGGCTGGAATTACTTCTAAAAATTGCCGCTCTTTTTCCTTTGCTGTTTATTTTTGGTAACGGAGTTAGTAGGACACTAAGGAGCTGAGAGAAAAACGAAAAATCAAGGCAGCTAAAAGAACAGAAAAGTGGAAGTTGCCTTTCACACTGTTTCTTATCACAGGACCCTCGGACCTTGGCTTAGTCCCAGAGAAGGGACCACACAGCATTGTACTTGGTGATTAAGTGCTCAGAGGCTGGGACTAGACTTCCGCCACTGAGGAGCGGGTGACCTTGAACAAGTCAGTTTCCCTCTCTTACCCAGGGAGGAGGAGGCAGAAGCGCCCACTTCACCGGTGGCCGGGAGATTAAATAAGTAAAGATGAAAAGTGCGGAGGATGGCATCAGGAACCAAGGTGCACGACCTCTGACAACGGATTCACCTTTCTGAGCATCAACTTCCTCATCTGCGGGGGGTGGGATGACAAAAGCAACCTTTCGAGTTACTGTGTTGGCGCATTGGGCGTAGAGTAAATGTTGGCTGCGTGCCATTTGTGCTCCACTCTCTGCCACCTGACGACTTCCTTAAGGGCTGACACCGGGTGCTTTCCCAGCCTTGGGTGCCCTCTGCCTCCCTCGAACTTCTGTCTCCTTCCGCACATCTTGGCTCCTGCTCTTGCCCTCTCTGCTAAGCCTTAAACGCGCCACGCTATCCTTCGTCTCCTTTTTCCGTTATGGCTCTGCCCACCCTGTCTAGCCAGGAAACATACTCACATGGTCCCTTCAATCTTAAGCTTTGTCGGGGCCTCCCAGGAGTTTTGCTTCTTAAATCTTTGCTTCCGCACCGCACTTCCAACCCCAGAGGGCTTTAAGAGCGCGTGAGGGTTTTGCCCTCGTGGACGTGGATGTGGGGTTCTCAGAGGGCTTCTGGTCGGAGGTGACACCCGAGCTGAGGCCTGGAGGGGCCCGGGAGTTAGCCAAGCAAGGAAGGAGCGCGCACACTCATGGTGTTACCTGGGCAGAGCGGACAGGAATGCGAAGGCTCAAAATGCCGGACACAAGTTGGGATTTTAGTTCCTAAACCCAAGCTACGCCATATCAAATTGGCATTGTCTATTGGTGTCGGCCTTAGCATCCTCGGACTAATTAACATGAAAGAATAAGCAGGGCATGGTGGTGCACGCCCGTAATCCCAGCGCTGGGGAGGCCGAGGCGGGAGGATTGCTATGTGTCTGAGGCCAGCTTGGAGTCCATAGTGAGTTCAAAGCCAACCTGAACTACACGGGGAGTCCCTCCCCCAAAATCATGAAAATAAAAAAGAGATGTCATAAACAAATCAACCTGTTTTTAGAACAGTTTAACATCAACATATTTTTCCTACCCAGTTTCATGACTTCTACATTTTATTTCTATCATTAACTAGACGGTTGACCCCTTCCAGAAGGAAGACGAAGAGTCTCTCGGGTTTTACATATCTCCCTGTGTGGTTTAGATAAAAAGTGTCCCCCCAAAGTCTCATGTATTCAGAGGTGGGGCTTTTGGAAGGTGACTGGACCCTGGGGCGCTGTGCCCCTCAGGGACCGATCTGAAGGTGCTGTCAGGTGGGGCCTGGTTGGAGGAGGTAGTCACGGAGGGCGTGGCCTGGAAAGGGGTGTCGTCCCCAGCCCCGCCCTCTCTCTGGCACTGTCTTTACAATCTTCTCGGCTCCACACTTGCCATGAGGTGAGCTATTTCAGTCCGCCAGGCCCTCCCGCCCTGCTGTTTCTGCCTTGGAGTCAGCTGACCATGGACTCACACTCCTGGAACCGTGAGGCAGAATAAGCACTAGATTGTCTTTCTTGGGAATTGGGTCACAGCAGTGAAAATCTGACTAATACCCTCCCCCTTCTTCATTTTCCTGCCCTTCTGTTGATTTTTGTCTCAACTGTTAGTGTGCCATTGCTTCTGTGAATGAAAAGTGCTACAGCTCAGGCACGAGCCTCAGTTTACTCATCCAAAAATCGGGTGAAGGCAGCGTCCTCGTGGGGCTGTCAGGAGAAGCCAGTGACCTAATCTGTTAGTTCTGAAAGTGATTCCCTGAGCAGCAGCAGCAGCACCAGAAGGAAGTTTT